CCTCAGTCATAAGGTGTTGTTAAGAGGCAAAGAGAAAATAYTTATAAGCACTAAGCACAAAATAGTGAGTACCAAAACTTGAGATGTGATGGCTAATGGATCTCTCTACCCACCAATAAATTGGAAGCCCCATGACCTGCCACACAAGAATGGGTAAGAATTAAATGAGATGCCCCTCAAGGGTTATGACATGGGGGCCATAAAACMCAACATACACCCCCATCACTATCCTTAACTTAGGTCACTCTCTCTGATCCCCCCTGAACTTCATAGAACTCCCTTTTTTTTTTTTTTTAAATATTTTATTTATTTATTTTTCTCGGCGGACACAACATCTTTGTTKGTATGTGGTGCTGAGGATCGAACCCGGGCCGCACGCAAGCCAGGCGAGCGCGCTACCGCTTGAGCCACATCCCCAGCCCGCATAGAACTCCCTTGTTCAACTCCACAGCCTTTGTCAAAAAGCAGGAAGCTGGGCTGGGGCTTTGGCTCATGGTAGAGCGCTTGCCTAGCACGTGCAAGGCGCTCGGTTCAAGCCTCAGCACCACAGAAAAATAAATAAAATAAAGGTATTGTGTCCAACTACAACTAAAAAATAAATATTAAAAAAAAGGAGTAAAGCCTGCTGACTCATAAGCAGATGCCCAGTATCCTGCCATTGTCATTGGAGGTGAACACTTAAGGTCCTCAGCCTCCACCAGCTGGCTCCCTATTCCCCCTGGAGTGATGTTAGAAAATCTCAAAGCATGGTGAGATGGAAAGGCTATAACTTTTGGCATCAGAAAGGCCCAGTTCAAATTCCAACTGCGCTTCCTAAAAGTATAACCTCAGACAAGTCCCCCTGGCTTAGCCTTGGTTTCCTCACATGCAAAATGGGGCCATAAAGTCTGTCTGTATATGAGTACAGAAAGGATTAAATTAATGTCCAGAAAACCCAGAGCATCATGCCTGTCACATGGTTGATGCTCAGAAACTACCTGTTTCTTATAACAGATCAGGGTAGGAGTCGGTGAATATCCTGATACTCGTGCCCTCACACAAGTAAGTGAACTGGAGAAAAAGATGGAAAAAGGGCAAAGTCGAAAAAGGCAAAGAGCAGAAATACATCCAACAAATGCCAGAGACAAAGCTCCACCGTAAGTCTGAGCTGGAGGCAAAGCTACCTGTCCAGGTGAATCAGCCTTGAATGGGAGAGGGGCACAAGGGGGGTCTTCATCAGTTTCTTTTCCAGATTCCACTCCTCCATCAGCAAAGCCTTCCCTACTCTCCTCCCCACGCCCCACCACCACAGCAGAGGCAGTCCTGCCTCTCCCAGGGAAGAGCAGCATGGAGCACATGCTGGCCTAGCTGCATAAACTGCCATCTGTAACCTGCAACCAACATCACGCCCCACTGAAACCTTATACCAAAGTCTGCTGATCCATCCCTGCCCTAATAGTCCCAGTTGGTGGCCTTGGGTCCACCCTACTCTGTCTCCCTGGACCAGTAGGATGTTGATGCCAATCTGTCAGCTGGCTGTGTGGCTGAAATGCAAAAGCAATCTAAATAGTCTAAAGCATCAAGCAAAATGCCTGGCACATACAATACTCAATAAATGATAGCTATTACTAATTTTTTTTCCTATCTCTGAAGTTTATTTTCAGGTTTTTAAAAGATGAGTCAATGACCCTCCCAATCCCCCGCCATAAGTCCACGACTGAAGTTGTCTTTGCAGCACCCAGCACTGATGCCTCTTGGTACCCGGAACTTCCCTTTCTCATCTGCCATCCCCAATATTCTTATTTAAATACCACCTCCACCTTTGTTCATGCTGTCCGTTCCATCCATGATATCCTAGATGTAACTCCATACAGTTTCTCAGGCATTTAGAGGATGCCTGGCTTTCACATCRTGAATCCCTACAGCTCTGTTGCTACTCCCATCCACATTTCATAGATGAAGAAACCAAGGCTCTGAAGATTAAATAACTGGCCCAGGGTCACACAGCTATTAGGTAATGGAGCCAWGATTCAAAATGTTTATTTTTTWAATTTTTTTAGCTGTAGATGGACACAATATCTTTATTTTTAAAATTTTTTTGTAGTTGTAGATGGACAGAATGCCTTTTTTGTTAATATTTATGTGGTGCTGAGGATTAAACCCAGTGCCTCACACATGCTAGGCAAGTGCTTTGCCACTTGAGCTACAGTCCTAGCCCRTATTTGTTTATTTTTATGTGGTGCTGGGGACCGAACCCAGGGCCTCACGCATGCTAGGTAAGCGCTCTACCACTGAGCTAYAACCCCARGCCTCAAAATGTTTTTTGACTTTTTAGTCATTTAAATTTAGCATTTCTCACCTTACTATGTACCTTCTTCTACCATCTCAGCAAATCCTGCTCATCCAAAACCCAGGTCAGTGTCATAAACCTTCCCAGGTATACTAAGTCAGGATTCTCTCTTCTTTTCAGATAGCTGTCCCCAGTATCAAGCATGAAAATGCTTCCCTTACCCTCCTCCAGCCTACAAGCTCCTGAAAGGCAGGACCAGTGAGCCCAGCCCCTGATTTTTACCTCTGCCTCTACCAGGCTCCTTYACCACATACAGGTGCTCAGTTAATGCCTGATAGGTCTACTTACCCCTAAAAGGCCAATATGCGCATCCACCTGCTGCCCTCAAAGAGCAACCATGTGAAAATTCCCCAGACCCTACTGTACCCCAATTTGCTGTTCCACTTGGCTGTGAGAATTAGAAAAAGGCAAGCTTGATGTGTCCCTCTGAATAAAACATTTAAAACAAAACAACATAGGCAGAAAGAGGAATATTTATACTAGCAAAGAGTATTAAGCTTTCACCAATGCACAGCCCCATGCTAAGAAAAACAGAAACAATGTGGGCAGAGAGCTCAGAGGAGGGAGGCAGAAATGGGGCCAGATCAGGAAGGAAGGTTGTTGTAACCCTCACACAACAGTCTATCCTGAGGATCGTGGAAGAAGAGACACTGACTGGGGGTGGGAGGTGACAGAATCACATCTGTTTGAAAGAAACCCTCTAGCATTTTTTCTCCCCTCTTTACCCCATCAGGCTCCTAGGAGATTTAAAAAAAAAAAAAAAAAAACTAGAAATGCAAACAGATGTCCCTGATTTCTGAACCAACCTATGATTTTAATTTTTTTATTTCATTTTTTAAAAATATTTTTCAGGGGCTGGGGTTGTGGTTCAGTGGTAGAGCGCCTGCCTAACATGTGTGAGGCCCTGGGTTCGATACTCAGCACCACATATAAATAAACAAAGTTAAAAAATCCATTGGCAACTAAAAAATATTTTTAAAATAAATAATTAAAAATATTTTTCAGTTGTAATTGGACACAATACCTTTATTTTATTTAGTTAGTTTTATGAGGTGCTGAGGATGGAACCCAGTGCCCCACACATGCTAGGCAAGCGTTCTACCMCTGAACTACAACTTCAACCCTTTTTATTTTTTGAGACAGGGTCTGGCTAAGATAGTGAGGCCGGGGCTGGGGCTGTAGCTCAAGGAATGCCCATGGAGTCGGGGAGGAAACCAAGAATGCCAGACTGGACCCTGGAATGATGAGCATCAGAAAGAGGGTGAGTGATAAGATACCCTCAGAAGGACCAAACACTGTTAGGAAAGCAGTTGAGTGCAGAAGTGAGAAGCTACTAAAAAGCAAAAATTGGAGTTAGGAGCCCAGGGTCAGATCTGAATGTTATCACTAACTAGCCGAGTTTACTCCCACATCTGTGAAATGGACAAGACAATCCATTCCCTGCTTGTCCTCAGAGTATCAAATGAACAGATAAAAGTTTAAGGTACTATAAACAAAGCAAGTATTAGGTGTGACCATTTTCTCAATAAGCAGCTGACCTCTGAATTGTTTGCCGTTTCCTGCTTCAAACTCTGGAGTCATCTTCCATCTCAGTCTCCCAAAGCAGGGTCCAGTCTTAGGGGCACTGCTGGGAGGTAGCACCTTCTGTTCCAAAAAGAATGGTCCCATCCTCCTCCTCAGGCTAGAAACGAACTTTCACCTCACTGGGGAAGGGACTTCCGTCTCACTCTCCCACAGATAACTCAGGAGGCACTGGAGAAACAGCGGCTTCACCCCAAGACCCTTCCAAGCAACTGAGAAGTTCAGGATCAACCCTTTACTCAATTACTGCACTGAAACACGTGGACACATTAAAATCACCCGTGGAGCCGTTCGCAAATACCCAGGATCAGGCCTTACCTCAAACCAATAAAAATCAGAATCTCTCAGGGTGGGTCCCCTTATCGAATTTTCTTTTTTTTCCAGGACTGGGGCTTAAACCCAAGGGTACTCTATCACTGTCACCATCAGCCCTTTTTATTTTAAAATTCTGAGAAAGAATCTTGTTAAATTGCCCAGGCGGTCCTCGAATTAGCGATCCTCCTGCCTCAGCCTCCGGAGTCGCCGGGATTACAGGCGTGTGCCACCACGCCTGGCACATTAATGTTTTTTTTTTAAAGCCTCCCAAGTGGGCTGGGGCTGTATCTACGGGGCAGAGTGTTTGCCTTGCAAGTGTGAGGCACTGGGTTCAGTCCTCAGCACCACAYAAAAATAAAATAAAATCATGCTGTCCATCTACAACTACAAAAATAAATATATATATTTTTTAATCCTCGGAAGTGGTTCTGCGCCACCAGGTTAAGAGTCATGTCAATGAATGGATCCTCGTCTGCCCCATGACATCCCTCAACCCCATATGCCCAGGGAGCTATCAGACCCATTGCATCCCCTTCCCCCTACACCCCAAGCCTTTCTGCACGGATTTCAGCCTTGACCCTCGAACCCAGCTTCTCCCGCCATGAACCCAGAACTCTCCAAATCCACAACCTGATCACCTCAAGGACCCCCRAGTCTCCACGACTCCCAGAGCAGAGAGCATTCCCTACCACACTTGGGCTTGTCATTGTGTCAGACTGGCCTCAAGTCCAACCCACGCCTGCCGGGGAGCCCAGACCACCCGCCGGCCCCTCACCGTAATCCTAGTAGGCGAAGCCTAATTCCAAGGCTGCGGAAAGCCAGGTGCCAGACAGTGCGCCTGCGCACACGAAGCCCGGGGCTTCTCGGCTCTCTCCCTCCGCCCCCGCCCAGYGATTGGCTCTGCGCAGCTCCGGGGACCGCAGCTCTGGCAGGTGACCCACGCCTGAGGCTGCAGCAGCCATGTTTATCTTGGGCTCTTACCCTGAGCGACCAAAAACAGTGGACACTAGCAAACAGACCTGGGAACCTTCCTTCCAGCATTATGCACTGCCTGAATGCACAGCCGAGGAGGGTTTGGAGATGATAGTGGCACGACCTGGGACTCCCCTAATGCTGGRTTGTGAGCCGCTCAAGGGTGGACAGGCCCAGCTTGAGCTGTGGTGCTGAGAATYGAACCCAGTGCCTCACACATACTAGGCAAGTGCTCTGCCACTGAGCTACAGCCCCGGCCCTATTTTTTAGTTTTTGTTTTCCTTTGTACTGGTGATTGAACACAGGGGCACTTTACCACTGAGCTACATCCCCAAACCTTTTTATGTTTTTCTTTTGAGCCCGAGTCTCACTAAATTGCTGGGGCTGGCCTTGAATCTGCAATCCTCCTGCCCCACCCTTCAGAGTCACTGAGATTACAGGTGTTTGTCACCGCAACAAGCTTCCTCCTCCTGCTCCTCCTCCTCCTCCTAATAATAATAATAATAACAACAACACAACAAGGAACACCGAGCTCTTACTACTACCCTAAACTGTGTTAAGAATCCCACATACATTTTCCTGTTGAGTCACAGTATACCTAGGAGCTAAATGCTATTATCTCCTTTTAACAAATGAGTAAATTGAGATTCAGAGGGATTCAGTGACTTTTGGACAAGCAAGAGGCCCAGCCAAGCTGGAATCCAGCACTCCTAATTCCTAGAGCAGGAGTCTTTCCTCTTCCTACCCCTGTCTAGGACCTCAGTATCAAGTCCATATGATTTCCTCTAGTCTGTGGAGGGTGTTCCAGATCTTTCTTCTGTAAACCTAGATAGATTACTAAGAAAACAAACAACACACATTGCAGCCCTTTCCAGTTTCCCTACCATAGAATATAAAGCAAGAAGTATGGCCTTTGGCTTCTGGGGAACCTAGGACTCAGTCCTGTATTCCACTTTTTTTTTTTTTTTTTTTTTTTGTGGGAGCAGTTACTGGAGATTGAAGCCAGGACTTATCATCAAACTATATCCTCAGTCCTTTTAATTTTTTTTATAATTATTTATTGGTATGAGGGATTGAACCAGGGTGCTTAACCACTGAGCTACAATCCCAGCCCTTTTGTTTTAAGATTGGGTCAAGACTGGCCTTGAACTTGAAACTTGCCTGCTTCCAGTGGCTGGGATTTTAGGCCAGCACCACCATGCCCAGCCCAACTCCATCACTTTGCTAAGGGACCTTCCTTTTGTTAATCTCTGTTTTATGCCTTACCAAGATTTTGTGAGCATTAAATGAGAAACAGGGGTATAAGCATTTGTGCATTGTTGATTCTATGCCTTTGTTGATTCTTTTCAGCAAACTCCTTCTAACAGGAATATTGTCCCCTTCTTCCTTTGTGACAACATAGCAAAGGGCTTATGAATAGCAAATGGTCCAACACAATCAGACAGCTAAGCTAGCTCTTACAGGGTTAGCATGCATGCCAGAAAACTAGGAGTTAAAAAGTAAATCAGTCTTCAAGGCCATGGAAGTCAGATAACATCCCAGGAGAAGGGAGGCTGGGCAGCCAGCTCAGCCTTCTAAGACTATGCAGTCAGCAGAAATCCCAAGAAGCCAGAGCCAGACAAGCTCATGAAAATCAAACACACTGAGACAATAGTCTGCCCTGTTCTGAAAATAATCTTAGGGACTCTCCCAGACAAAAAGGGGCAAATTCCAAGTAGTGAGGGTAAAGCACACTATGCAGAACAGTCACTAAAGTAATGTGCAGTTACCTTTACTTTATTAGCATAGTAAAAAAAAAAAAAAAAACACCTCAAGACAGAGACTTAAGATGGTAGTAAGACATATAGCGCAGCATGATGAAGAGCACAAATAAAATCTCACCTTTACATGTGATGACATCAAAAGACAGGTCCCTGTCTACCCTGAAGATGCCATGAAATCTATACATCTTGTCCTTTGTTTGAGCCAGCCTGACACTCTCAGTTAGGGCTGTATCCCCCTTCTTGCTGAAGTAGAAACACCATTTAAAGCCTTGCTTGTATAACCATATTCATGTGATCCTATTTCATTTTTATTGTCACTGTTGATACCATTTCCAGTATCAAGAGAAGCCCTGTGTCCAGGGGCTAGAGCCTCTTCAACCAGATCCTATAGAACCCCTAGTGATTCCATGAACCTCCTCCCAGCATACATAATCCACCAGGCTGTCTCATTGCCCTCCTTCTCCCCAAGCCCACCCCTATAAGCTCTCTTCTCACCTTCTGTTTCCCCCTTTTCCAAAACAACACAGTCCTAGTGTATGAGGCCCAGGCCCAAGGTACCCTAGGATTAAAAAAGACAGACAGATACAGAATTTCAGAGTGTTGTTTATTCAAGGACTTATTGACTGAAATATCAGTAATAGACCAGTTGAACCCCTGAAATTTGGGTCAGAAGGAAGGATGTATATAATGTTAGAACAAAGATGACCTCATTCTAGGCATAATGTACTGGTTTATCTTAAGCTAGTATAAGGCATATTCCTGGTCCAGTTGTAATGCTCCACATACCACTCTAATTGTTTGTTTATATTTTGCTGAGAGGTGTGCAGAAAAAGTCAACTAGGGCTACTCTGGGGCAGTCATGACAGTTACAACTCAAGATGGCTGCAGTCACGTCAAACTGAACCTATATACTTTCCTAGAGACAGATAAATAGACAGACACACACATACACTTTTTAGACTTAAGTGACTGCTGAAACCCCTCTTCCAGAATGCCCTCATGACTAGAAGAAAGATGATCAATTCTTCCCTCTCCCCACCCCTCACCTCCATCTATGCTTTCCTGGCTATGAAGACAGAGAGCTAAATTTCAGCATTCATTGTAGGTTTGGCACACTACGCCCCTTGTAAATTTGCTAAGGGAATTTCCCCTGCCCTTCCATCTCTGGCTAGTGTATGCCTCTATTTCAAAGCAAACCCTGAGTCTTTCCTTAACCCTCCCTGGAAGTCCAGTAGGGAAATGGTGGAATGGGGAAGACTGATAAGARATAATTTCTATGAGAGAACTTGGATTTTTCAGCCTTGTGGTGTGTGTACTTGACTCAGTTCCTCGTTGTGTCTTCTCATGAGATTTAGAATTAAGTAATTCCTGGCCAGAAACAAAACCAAAACTGTTCCATTCTTCAACATATTTGAATGAACACTGATAATAAAATCAGGTACAGCTCCAAGAGGAGACATTGGGGGAGAACCAAATTAGGTCTGTAAGGAATTACACAAGAAATGGCACACGTTTATGCATATAAAGGTTATGATCATCTTGTCACATCAAATTGAAAATGTTACCACTGTCTAGACGGTGGAGAATATTTAACTGGGAATGTAATTTTATTTTTTAGGTATGAAGCTTTGTAGTAGTGGTTGGGTTGGTTTGCTAGTAAATATGTGAAACTTTGGGGGAAAGAAGAAAAGGATAGACCTTGGATCCTTCATGTTGCATTTAATGTCCCATGGTTACATTCTGAGGTCCCTTAGCCTTCTGATTTCAACAATGTAAACTTTTACCTTGTGATTATCTCTTATTCCTCTTCCTGGTTGTCAAGCACAGAGAAAACTAGGAGGGGACTTCGGGTGTCACAGGCCACATCACTGCCTGATTCCTTGAAACATATTGGATTCCCCGTAACTTCAAAAAATAGATACACACTGTATTTGAAGAAATTATCTGCTCCCCTAGTTTCCTACCTTTCTGATCTAGGTTCCACACTCAGGAAGCCTTCCCCCCACGGCCCAGAATGCATTATTTCAGATTTCTGTTCAGGAAGAAAGAACTTTCCTCCAAGGAATAAAAGAACAAAGCTCTGGGTTTGGCTCATATTGGCCAGCCTAAACTATGGCCAGCGGGATGGCAGGGCTGATTCGCTTAGTCCTAAATCACCCACAACTTATGGACAGAATAATCAACTCCACCAGAACCATTTGACTGAGAACCAGTGGGGGCTCCAAAAATCAGGGGGCTGTTACTGGAATCAGGGTGAAGGATTCACTGAGAAACTCACAGCTTGATCCTTATTTTTCTTGTTTTGCCTGAAAACATCCTTCCCAGATCAGCAGAAATCTTCAGCAGGAATGTAGGGACCACAATTAAAATGCAGGTTCCTCACCATCCCAGGCTCTACTTGAGCTTGGTCATGCGTGTGCCCCACCCCTCACCAAAATATGACTACGTTCTCTTGGGTGATTGAGAACAGGTGGGAAAACTGGCCAGTCTCACTGGACTGTCACTGATCTCAAGGCTGGGTTGAGGTTAGTCCAAGTGTAGCCTTGGATTTTAGGGGAGGGAAAGTTATACAAATTGGAGTGGGGTATTATATATTATTCTCCTATTGCTGTTGTAACAAATTACCAAATTTAACAGCTTAAAACAAATTTATTAGCTTATAGTTCTAGAGGCTGGAAGTCTGAAATTTATCTTGTTGGCTAAAATCAAGGTGTTGACATGACTGTATTCATTTCTTTTTTTTTTAAGAGAGAGAGAGAGAGAGAGAATTTTTTTTTTAATGTTTATTTTAGTTTTCGGCAGATACAACATCTTTGTTTGTATGTGGTGCTGAGGATCGAACCCGGGCCGCACACATGCCAGGCGAGCGCGCTACTGCTTGAGCCACATCCCCAGCCTGACATTTTCTTCAATTTGTACATTTCTTTTTTAAAAAAAAAAAATTAGTTGTAGTTGAACATAATATCTTTATTTTATTT